AAACGCGCGAGAGGTTAAACCTTTCAGCAACCATTGCTAACGAAACTAGAGGCAGCTACTAAAAGTGCAAGCCTATCGAGCTGTTTGTTGTTGTAACAGTTATTAACGTTTTTTCGTACGCGAGCGACTAAATGCTCATAGTGTGCCTACTCAAGAGTTAAAAAAATATGAGCATGAATATTTGAATGTTTACGATTTTTAAAAGTTATACAAACCTTGACACCCTCTTGATTCTTAAAGTATTTTTTTTTTATGGCATAAGCCGGTAAACGAGCCGACGGATCGCCTGATGGTAAGCAATCGGCGTCGCCCATGGACACCTGGAACACCAGAGGCGTTACAAGTGCGTTACCGGCTTTTTGGGGATTAGAAGTTTGAGGATCGTTGGGGATTCAGGGATTGGGGAGATTGGGGAAGCGGAGGGTAATTGGGCCTCCGGTAACCTCACTCACACGACTAAAAAACAACGCAAGCGTTGCTTCCCGTCGGTTTTCTGTGAGGCCGTGGTATCACTCCGGTCGAGCTGGCCCATTCGTGCCGAAGCATGGCTCTCCCACACTTGAAGAATTATTGTTTACTGTCATATTCTGAAAAACAAATGATGGCAGTTGTTTGAAAATGATGTTAATTTTTCAGTAACAAGGTGACAGGTCTATGGTATGTGGGAAGCTGTGAGCGACTGATATCCGCGGGTGAAGATGGGGCCTTGGGGGTCTGGGAGATGGGGGTCCGTCGACGCGAGACCCCCGCCTGGAAGGAGTCCGACCTCTGCCAGATATGCCGCGCCCCCTTCATATGGAATGTTAGGGCGATGATGGAGAAGAAACAACTTGGTAAGATACATAAATAAGAGATTATTAATACAGAAAAATAAGATATGATGAATTATTCATATACTTTTTTCTTCATCATGTTTGGTGATGGCTAAAACGATAAGCAGCTGAATCTTCCTATTTTTTTGTAATCTAATTGCGATCCCTAAGCCACGTGCCTAAGCATGTGGAAAAGAATCAGACTCATTCCCTCTGCAAGAAACCTAAAATGGCTTATTATATTTAAACTATTCAAGTATACTCAATTGTAACGTGTATGAATTTCATGATTGTAAGTTCCAGTGTAGCTTGAAACTTGTCGAAGATGGTCGAATGGTTAACGTGGAAGTAAGCACACAACATTGATAAAGTTGTATAAAACTGTGCGCTACCCCGCAGGTCTCCGGCAGCACCACTGCCGCTGGTGCGGCGCGGCCGTGTGCGCGACGTGTTCCCCGCACCGCCTGCCACTGCCCGTCATGGGGTTCGAGTTCCCGCAACGTGTCTGTACCACCTGCTACGAAACGTTGAGGCATGAACCGTAAGTACACACTTTAACACTTGTTAAACATAATTTATGTTTACCTCCATGCTGACAGACAGCCAGGCTGTGTTTTACTTTATCCGCGTATTGTTTGCAAATAATAGCTTAGCAGGAAAACCACTATAATAGATGCATATTGAAGCAAAATTGTCATTAAAAAATCTATTCCAAGGTTGTCTATTCAAGATTATTACTAAACTTACGTAAACATAACACTTTTTCTCCACTAAAAGTTCTTTTTCTTTTTTAGCCAGTTACAGATCCCAATAATAGGAACTGAGTTAGCTATATACGGTATTTTCACATTCTTTGTGATTGTTTCGAAATGCTCAATAATACTATTCCTAACCAAGCAGTCGAACTTGGAAACCATGGTTTCCTAATAGTCTCGCATACGAAGCAAATACTGAGAGAAATAAACAATTTAATAAAGGCTTAATTTTCCATTTTAATCTGTTTCCAGTCGCGAATCCCTGGCTTCATTCCACGACATGAAGCACGCAGTGTCGTCCCTGTACATGGACGAGGCGACCGGCCGCATGTGTACGGCGGGCAAGGACCGCGTCATCAAGGTGTGGGACGTCGGCGTACTACTCGCCCCCGCGCCCAAGCCCTCCACCGCCGCCGACCAGTAACGCGTGCCAACTGTATAAGCTGATCAATAACACGTATGTCGCTTTATTTACTAACACACACTTACAAAATTTAAAAAATCATAATACATAAAATATTTCGCTTCTGAACGTTATATATCACCTATTACAAAGGTAAGACTAAAACAGTATTGTAACTAAAATCATGCGCAATCTTTGCGCAATAAACAGCGCAAAAAATCTTCCCCTTTGATTGTGCGCAAACAAGCTACATACGCGTTATTGATACAGCTTCAACAAATTGTATTGTAAATGGCAATGAAAATGTTCTCCATCGGGCTGTTTGCATTAATGTTATCGTCGTTATAATATTATTATTTAATGTGTATCTCATGTTTGTTGATGATAATCCAACGAAAGTTTTGCTTTTTATCACTCGTCGTGAGGTAAGACTGAGATTTTCATTTCAGAATATGGCGTGTCGTTTATTATTCATAGTAAAACTAAAAAAATATATGTGTCATCATAATTATCGTATGAATTATAAAGAGACGAAGATCTCAAAGCTGTTTTATATGTGTGATCAAAAATAATCGTCTGTAATCTAAAACTCAGAATCAGAATCAGAATCAGAATCAGAATATTTTTATTTGTAAACTTCAACACGTTTGGTGTAAATAAGTCTGCATTGTTTTTGTTTCATATGGATTAGTTTCGTCTAGTGCGACGGTCCACAGTCAATATTAGTTTTCATGAAGTTGTCTAGTGTAAAACGAAACAATGTTCTCATGGGCAAGAGGCGTGTGAATGATAACCGAGTTGATTCTAATTGTGTTCACGATATAACTGCGAGTGTGTTACACTACGTGATTGTTACATGTTACATCCCGCTCGGGTGTAACAAGCATCCACATGATCTGTCTTCATTGTATGGACGTTTAGTTTCATATGTCGTCTTCTCGAAGCATGTGCTGAGCTGCTCTAGTCCAAAATAATTATAAGCTTCGTAGCAGCATTGCATTTTTAGGTAAGTCGACTAAACTTAGCACATTCTTATAAACTTCATAGTATCCTAATGTTTCGTACTCACGCAGCTCAAATAGTCTAAATTATGTTAATATTCTTGCGTCAGCTGGCTTATAATGAAGTAATGCTTATGTGGATGTTTCAACTTGTAACAATTGATCTGTTTTCAACAAGGGTATTTTATAAAGTCATTACATTAACAATGATTAGAACATCTACTTTCAATCGTTGGTCATCCATTGGTTGAGGGAAACAAATGGTACTATATTAAAGTATCCTTGTTGAAAACTATATACTGTTAGAGCTCGTCCGACTATATTTGCGTTAAACGTATAAATATATTAAATTAGTTATGTATTTCTTAAATATTAATCGTCATTTTATGAAATTATAATTTATTCCAATGTATTATATTTGTATTCCAATATTGGCATTGCTAAAGACATTAGTTTATCAAGGCAATTGCTTATGTTTTATATAAAAAGGTTCTTTAATTATAATTAATCAAAATATTTAAAATTGTGACAATGCAACGGAGCAAATTTTAAATTGTATTTACTAAGAATAGTTTTGTTTAATGTTTTATTTTTAAATATATTTTCTTAAATCGAGCCAATTGCATATTAATTTATTAGGTATGTTTACAAGGTGCGGTAATCGTTAAGTATGTACGTACTTTGCCTATTTAATTAAAACTACTGAATCTGACAATAAATATTATATATGATCTACCCCATATATAAAATAGTGATGTGCACTGTATCATTTATCGACATTATAATTGTATAGAGAAGTAACGATCTAATCGGGAATTTAATGGAAAGGTGCTTATACTGTGTCGAGTCACTCTTTTAGGTATGTTTTCTTTTATTTGCAAGGTTTTCAACGAACAAATAGTGCTGTCCCTTCGGCTTAGTGCTCAGCTTTCGAAGGCACAGATTGGCCGCGCCCGTATTTTCACCAAGTTGATATCGTATGAAGTTTTCCGTTCGAGATCGTACAAGTGAATCTTGTCATTTCCGGCGTGGACCAATTGAAAATTTATATAAAAAGGTCTTGTGTAAATGTAGTAAAACAATCGTAAAGTGTGTCCGAGTAGGTCAGAAAAAGTTAAAAAAATATGTAATTGAATGTATAAAAATGTATAAAATAAATTTTAGGTATATTGGTTGGTGTGTTTAGTTCGAGATAGTCATGGCTACGGATTATCGTGATGTCAATCGAGATATTGAACATTCTAGGTAAATAAAAATTAATGCATTTTCCGCCTCCGTAATTATGACATTCTCGCTAGACCCCACCTTATAAATGATATACACGAAAATTTAAACTTAAAATATTTATTAAATACGTAATATTATACTATGTACATTATCTAGAAATGCTTTCCTATTTATGAATAATGCCAAAATTATTTAGATAATTATATTCAACAAATGTACGAATATTGCACGTTAATTACAATAAGTTGATTGTTTATGTTTCATTTAATCAAAATTATTATACTTTAAAAGTATTTTAAATGTGGTGATAGTGTTTTTTGTATTGAAGGACTTGAATAGTTTTCTTGAAACATGTAAAACATAGTGAATCCTCCAATATGACAAATATTATCATTCAATATGTATTTGGTGAGGATTCGATTATAATCTGTATTACTTTAAGGTCGAGTATCTATTATAATATTAATATTTAATATAAATAAATAAATTAACTATTCTTTTATGTCGTTAAAAGAGATTTTATTTTTCTATTCATGGAGCTTATTATTCGTTTGTAAAGTAATACTGTAATATATAGTCAATGTGTAATTACTATTAGAAGTATTTAGGTCGCTTGAAAGTTTCTATGCCAATAAAGAGTAAGAAGTAATCGTGTCTTATTGCCAAGTAGGAGGTAGTTGTGGTAGACTGGTGTAATCATAGCGCACGAGACAGCGCGGCCCGGCCGCTGGGGCCCGGGGCCCGCGCAGGGCACAGCCTCGAATTAATAGGATCAGGTACATCGTGAGCGACTCCAGGGGCGGGGCCCGGGCCGGGCCGGGCCGGGCCGGGCCGGGCTCAGCCGGGACACGTGTACTGCGCGGGCGGCACGCACAGCTGTCCGTTGAAGCGCAGCCCCGCGCCGCACGACAGCGCGGTGCGGGCGCCGCCCACGCAGAAGTAGTAGCGCCGGCAGCCCGTGCCCGCCTGCACGAAGAACCCGTCGCGCACGCACCGCGCGCCCTCCTCCGGGCCATGGGTACCGCGCACCCCGCCGCACGACATCTGCGACGCTTTCACGCACGCACGACCGTCGAACATCTTCCCGCCTAGGCAAGACAGCGTCACCAACCGGTCGCCGCGCTCGCAGTAGAAGTATCTGAAAATAGTTTGCATAAATGCCAGGATTATGATCACAGTAAAAACTGCATACTGTGAAGAAACTGTATGTTTATTTTTCGTCAGTGTTATATGGAAAATCATTTTGCAAGTTTAAACTGTCGTATCTCAGTAAAAAAAAATCACAGAGAGTTAAAAATTCAATGAAAAGAAAGAGAGAGACATGCAACATTCTTTTGAAAAATCTTTTTAATTATAATGGGTAACGGAGAAATTAGGAAAATGTAGGACTTAGACCAACTATACTGTACATTATTTTGACGTGATTAGTTGTAGTGTTTTCGAATATTGTAAGCACACACTAGGTGTTCATAGTTATTTTTACAGAAGGTACCAACTCATGCATTGCAGCTTTATATATTTACCTTCGACATCCTGACTCGATCTCTGCGTGGTAGCCGTTCGAGAGACCATCACACGAATGGTCTTCTCGCAGACACAATCCAGGTTTCGCGGGCACGCAAGACTCGCCGTCGAACACGCGGCCTGTTGGACACGCGTAGATGGATTTTTCTCCGCGCACGCACTCGTAGTAGCCTCTGCAACCAGTGTCAGCAGCACGGTATCGACCGTCCGGTCGGCCGTAGCAAGACTCGCGTTCTAGACTCGGGCACAAGTAGTGTGAGGCTGGCGAGCACCTCACGCCATCGAACACCTGTCCCGGCGGACAGGCAAGCATGGTTCGGAGTAAACCTTCGCAGTGGAAATAGCGAGTGCAGTTAGAGTCCAAATCTTGGTATGTGCCACTTGGAAGCCCTTCACATTCCGTTGAGATCGCTGGGCCATCGCAAAGGAAACTATCGGAAGGAGTGCAGCCACTGCCATCGAACACGAGACCTGGTGCACACGAGCCGCGCTTTACGACTCTCTCACGGCGACACTCGAACCAGGAGGCGCAGTCGTGCCAGTCTCTATGCAGGCCGTCGTGTCTGTTGAAGCACGGGCTCAGCGCGGGCGCAGGACACAAGGACTGTGCGGCTGGCTCACACGCACCGTTAGTGAACAAGAGGCCGGGCTCGCACACTCCGCGGCGGATCACTCGATGCGCTTCACAAACAAAATACTCGCGGCAGCTAGTCGTACGGTCTGCATATGCACCATTAGGTATGTCACGGCACAGTGAAGAACAAGTCTCGTCGGAACAGAAGTCTGCGTCACCTGCCGGCAGCGGGGCTGCAGCAGCACGCGGCGGCGGGCACACGGTGGCGCAGTGCGTGCCGCAGGACGCCACGGCGCGCAGCTCGCCGCCGCGGCACCGCAGCGTGCGGCGGCACTCGTGCGACGCGTCAGGGTACTCTCCGTCGGGCAGCCCCGCACACACCGGCTCGAAGCAGGTGCCGGCGCCTCGAGTGCACGCCTGGTGTTCCAGATCGAACCATGCTCCCGTGGGACAGCTGCGCTCTATCGCTGTACCATTTTCACATCGGTAGTACTGGCGGCAAGCTGTGCCAGGACTTGCATATGCAAGTGTATCTGTAGACGTACACTCCCGGCGCACGCAGGGTCGTCGGGCTCGCGGTACACATGCACCCTCAGCTTCACTGAAGACTCGATCATCAGGGCACGAATATCTTCCTTTCACTACACCATTGCTGCAGCGCACATATTTTTGGCAATTTTGATCATAGTCTGTATGGAGACCGTCTCTGGTACACTCAAAACCATTGACGCCTGAAAAATAAAAATATTATTTTAAACTAAGTTCAGTTTTTATCTTCCAAATTTTGTTAGTTTTGACAGGTTATGAAATTTCTTCATCCTTTATATCTTCTTAAGTCGACAGTAAACAATAAATTGCGTTTAATATAATATATAGGATGTTGCATGAGCTAGTTTTACTCACTGTCGATCGGTACGAGCGCGGCGATCGCGGCGAGAGAACAGAGCGCGGCGGCAGCGGGCGCGCGGACGCACATGTCGGCTGCGACTGACGAGTCGAGAGCTCGAGCGCAGGCCCTCGCGAGTCGCGCGACGCTAGGGTTCCTTGACATTCGCACGCCCCCGCCGTAACTTGATCCCTGCGGTGGCCCGGATGCAGCCTCCGAGCCAGCAAACTAGACACGCCTTGTTTATCGATCGCCCGATACCCGAGTGAAAATGACCCGCGATGAGGCTATCTGGCCCTGAACTTTGTCTTCTTATGTAACGACAATGAGAAATATTCGATGAATGAACTGGTTAACCGCAATGGAGTTGTTAGCGCATTAGACGCTAGATCTCTGAATGGTTTAGTCAGCACTTGAGGCAAGAAAAATAAGATGATTCGAATGCATGCAACGGATGCAACTCGTTGCTCTGATGCTAATGCAAATACTTATGTAAACATAAATTACGTGAAGGACATTATATTACCTCCCTCAATGCTTGCTTACAAGGCCGTAATTCGTGTCTACAACTAAGTGTACCTATATTTATAAATGAACGAATGAATTACTATTCTACCGTTGTACCCGTGGGAAATTATAATAAAAACGTAGAAGCAAAAACGCACAGATCGTGTCGAAACGTAATAAATACCTGGTAGTGAGCCGGAATCTCCGAGAATCCGCATAGGCATACGAAACAGATTCCTATTTAGATAGATTAGATGATAATGCTGTGGAAATATTTGCATCGGTCTGGCGTTGTGATGGGCCAAAATGTGATCAATGCAATTTAGGGCATGGTATGGAAATTCACACTGATTTCAGCTTGTCCTGATGTCTATATTATGTCTATATTGTCTGATATAGTAAAATAGGTAAGTAATTGATCCGCATTAGATTGGCTAATTTATTATGCCCGAATAATACTGAAGCTCTTCTTAATTTTAAGTCGCGTTTAAATATAGTTCTGTCACTACAAATTCTTTGTACAAAGACAGGGATGACACGATATTGAAGTATAACTTAAAATTGGGTACCTACTTGCCTTAATCAAAAATAAATTATTTCGACTGTCCAATACAACAAAATGTTAAAAAATAATCAACATTCATTATTTGATTTTATGATCAACTTAATTTTAGTATATTTCCAGAAAATTTTAAGAAATAAGTGCTGTTTGTCGCTAAAACCATTCGTTTTTGACAGTTCGAAAAAAGTATTGAATTTGACTAGTTCGCAAGTACCTACCCAATTGAGTAGCCTTTCAGTATTCGGGCGTTGGCCAATTTTTTGTTTAATTAGGGACTTACTGAAATATGAAGTTAGTGATTTATTTCCAAAATCAATTCTAATACCTAGTTCCACTAGTCACATATCTATATCCGTGTAGGCTTCGATCCTTTCATTAGATTAAATCAGGTTCCAGTGTAATATAAGACTTATTGGTAACATAACTCCTAGGAATGCTTGGAATGCGTAGTACGCGTGTGACTTCACCGGTCGTCCGCAGCAGGAGGCGGGCGGCATTCCTCTAAGGTACTGTACACACGATCATACAGACTCGCGGAGGCACGTGTCTGAGATGAGTGAGTCGTGACTTGAAACTGCGGTTCCGTTACCGCAATAAATGTACATACATGTCATACATACATACATAAATGGACTGCAAAAAATCATAAACTAAACAAATTGTGTACAGAGTGACTAATGTGCAAATATTACTACTGTACTTGTTATATCGTGTGAGTGAAAGACTTCTCTATTACCATAAGTACTATTCTATTACCATAAGTAATCTTGAATTAAAATGAATTTAATTTACCATGTTAATATTAATTGTTATTTGAGGTTTGTCAATAGCATTATAATACATAACCTAATCGATTACCTTTCGATCATTATCTCGCATCCAGCCTCAATTACAATAAACATAGCCTCGGGTTTCAGTTCCGTATCGCGTATCTAAGAGATTGACCGACAATGTTATTTGCAATCGTGAATAATCGTGATTGTGTAGCGTTACTTGACAATATCCTTCCTCATATTTCCTGTCGCTTGTCTTTCTTTTATTTGAATAAACTAGCTACTTCCGCGCGATTTCACACGCTCTGCTCAGCTCCTATTGGTCGTAGCGTGATGTTTTATAGCCTATAGTCTTCCTCGAAAACTGGACTATCTAACACAAGAAGAATTATTCAATTCGAACCAGTAGTTTCGGAGATTAGCGCGTTCAAACAAACAAACTCTTCAGCTTTATAATATTAGTATAGAATATTAGTATAGATTACTACTACACACGTTCTTAGAATTACTGCTGTGCTTACCAGGGCTCCGGATCGAAGCAGGAGTTGGAACGAGGTGGTTTTTAGTCAGTTACAGTCTGACACTTCCTTTTAGGGCAAGGGGGAGGAAATTTTCGAGAATTTGCCCCCCTCAAAACGAGGTCCCCTTTTCTTGAAAAGCGAACTGTAGTGGTGGTGGACTGTGGACTGGTCACATCACTTGCAGAACCGATTAGTGTGTGATTGTTGGAGTAGATGTTTTAGATTGGAGATTGCGACACGGCGCTTATATCTGCAAAGTGGTTGGATACGAAGAGCTTCAGATCAAGCTCATTGGTGTGCTATTGGAGATTTGGAGAACTCTATGTCAAGTGCCCTGTGTTAGGATAAAAACAGGCTGATAAAGATGAACCTAGCGGTGAGTTCTTTCATTCTGTGCTCGGCTTTCTACCCTTACAATTCGAACTAAGTTGTCTCTAATCTAATCTAACTACCACCATTGTAGACAAGTACTTAGTACTTAAGTCGGTATTTTTCAGTTTGTAGCGAAAGATATCTTTTGATGCTTAGGAAAACGTGAAAGGAGCTGTCCAGTCTCTTACCGACTCCGCTTTCCCTTGATGGTTGCCAGATTTTCTTTTTCAGATAATGTTTTGCAAGCAAAATCTTATTTCTTAGATTCTAGTCTACTAAATACAACGTGATCCAAACAATCAATATCGTTGGATACTCGTTAAGTACCTACTATTATTAGTATGTACTCAAATGGATGTTTTCTTATTGCTTCATTAATTTTTGGATGTTTTCTTAGTCCTACTAATATCTAAGTCAGTGTCAATTTATTTAACCGAAAACGGAAGATCGTCATTTTGTACTTAATTGCCTGTCTCCTAGGAAAGAGATTGTCCATTTGCTGCATAGTTAATTACAATAAATACATTTACGACTCCTGAGAAAACGTGAGACACGCGATATTATTTGCAATGGCGCATTGTGTCATTGGAAAGACGTAAGATATTGGATAATCCAGTGCATATCTTATTAAACTGTCAAACACCAAGCGGTCACCGGTGACCGCAACCTATTGTTCTATAATTGTGTCTATAATGACGGTACTCGACGAGTTAAAAAAAGGGCTTCATACATAACTAAACATTTTATCTTTCTGAATTTATATCGCGAACAAAATCTTCCAAGTCTATACCATGATTAGCAACTTTTTAGTCAGTTCATCAATTTGTAGATCACTTGAATCTGATGCTGCCTCGTTGGCCGAGTGGTCGCAAGTGTGACTGCCGGGTATGGGGTCTCGGGTTCCATTCCCGGGTCGCTCAAAGTATTACTGAGTTTTTAAAAATCTCAGTAGTAGCACGGAGTCTGGAAATGTGCCCGGTATATGGCAATAGGCTTACCCCCTATTACATGAGACTCATAACATAAATAGTGAAAAGTGGGTGTTACATTATACAGTGGCATTAAGTGCCGAAATTTGTACCTCTGCCTACCCCTTCGGGGTAAAAAGGCGTGATGTTATGTTATGTTGAATCTGATGCTAGCTACTTAGATGATGTTACAATTACGACAGATCGTTAACTCTACCGCCTGTTCATGGTTTGTCTAGTCTCTAGACTCAAGTGGGTCAAGCCGAGTTAGTCGTGTTTTATTATTTGAAACTTTAAATCCTAAGTCAGTGTAGTAAATTGATTTAAATGATAGCTATTCAGTATAATGCGAATTGGCAACATAAAAAGCTCTTAATTACTGCATAATTGTTTGTTGGAGATTTTGATGGGAGATTCCAAGTGTGGGAAAACCTAAGTATTTTAGTGAAATAATACGTCTTGCTGAGCTTCGGTCGATCACCGGCGTTATTTATCATATATTATCAACCATTACAATTTGCATACAGATGCCTATCTTCGCCTATTCCTATTAAAATATTTGCAAATTATGTAGAGGTATAACTTGCGAATTACAATGTAGTACCTATATTTTTATATTTAAATTGTTGTCATTTTAATTTATAATTTTATGAGCCTAACTCGGTGTTGGCAGGTGTGTGAAGGAACAATGCGGATGCTTTTCTGTTGGTACTGTGTCACCTACTTAGGACATTTTCTTCAAACATTGAACATTTGCCAACAGAGGATATACGTTTTCTGTTCTTACGAAAGCAAATCATAGCCAGTTCCGGACGGTGGTCTAGAAAACTAAGTAGGTACTTACGAGTTAGTACGACAGACAGGTCTTTAATAAAGTTAATGATAAATGGCCAGCTAGACAGTGAGTCACGAAGGAGTTCCGTTCTGAAATAGGTCTACAGCATTTGAGAAAGCATGGTAAGCTGTAATGTCAGGCGATATTGCGTAAGATAAAATGTTACAGGGTCGAACGCTTACGCAAATTAAGTTCCTTAAGATGACCGAATTGTTGCGGATCTTAGTTTTTGCGCGCATACTTGATCAATAATAATTAATAGTCCCTATGTGGGTTATAAGTTCCGCACTCATTGTCACTAACATAGTTGAAACTATCAACTCTCATCCGGGTTAAAATAAACTGTAAAAGCGTTTAAGGTCAGTTAAATATCATGGCATTTGTCTATTGATCCTGTCTATAAGGATATACCATGTACAAAGAAGCTTCAAATACTTAATGCAATAATGCAGAAAAGAGTCACGTCAATAGCGTTTCAGCGATTGTTCTAGTTACGAGGTTTCTAATGCAGTTAGTTATTGTAGAACAACTTTGCGTTACGTTCTCTAAATAAAAAATATTTGTTATGAAGGTAATTAATGCTAATTTGATTATCGAACTCCATGACAGCAAGCCACAAAATGTCCA